CACACACACACACACACACACACACACACACACACACACACAAACACACTCAAACACGCACATAAACACATACACACATACACCAGGAACTCACGGCGCAGGTAGAGGAGTCCTTGGCCACTGCACACACTTCCCGTGAACCAAGCGAGCATCTGTTGGTGTCTCTCTCTCTTTTTCTCTTTCTTTCTTTCTCTTTTCTCTATTTCTCTCTCTCTCTTTCTCTCTCTCTCTCTCTCTCTCTCTCTCATACACACACACACACACATGTACATAAACACATACACACATACACCAGGAACTCACAGAGCAGGTAGAGGCGTCCTGAGCCACTGCACACACTTCCCGTGAACCAAGCAGGTATCTGTTGGTCAGCCTGTACCACTCCGCAGTACAGCGGGTCTGTGTCATCATTCTCAGCCTGCCAGCTTTGAGGACGTAGCCGCTTCCTGTTTACAACAATCGGCAAATAAATTAATCAACAGTGAAACAATTAAAGAAAGTAAGAAAGAAAAAAATAATGAATGAATGGATAAATACATAAATAATTAAATAAATAAATAAATAAAGGAAGGAAGGAAGGAAGAATGAATGAAGGAAGAAAGGAAGGAAGGAAGGAAGGAAAGTACGAAACAAAGAATGAAAGAAAGAATGAAAGAAAGAAACTGGGGTAACAACATGGGCTTTTGTCATCATTCTCAGCTTGCCTTTTTTTCAGGACGTGGCTGTGTCCTGTTGACAAAATAGAAACTAAATAAATAAATAAAGGAACTAAGTAAGTAAGGAGGGAAAGAGGAAAGAAGGAAAGAAAGAAGGAAAGAAAGAAACTGGGATGACAACACGGGTCTGTGTCATCATTCTCAGTTTGCCTGCTTTCAGGACGTAGCCGCTTCACCCCCAAGTAAGAAAAAAGAGAGCACCTAAAAAAACAACGGGCAATAGTTTTTGAATAGTGGGTTCACCATCGCCTTTCTCACTCTGAATCAGGGTATAGGCCACGAACAAACACTTTCCACCTTTCCCTAATCCTAGGATAGACTCTTGGTGTTATTCCATGTTTATTTTTTGGAGAAATAATCAGTAAAAAAAATAAAAAAATCGACAGACTAGAGACAAAAAGAAATAATGATAGAAAGAATGAAAAAAATGAATCGATGAATGAATTAATGAATAAATAAATGAATGAATGAAAACAAACGAAGCAAAAGAAAAAGAAAAAAAAAGCAACAACGCCTCCCCCCAAAACAACAACAACAACAACAACAACAACAACAACAACAACAACAACAACAACAACAAAAAACAGGTGTGTTGGTGTTTGGCGATCCCTGTGGTTTTGCGTGCACCTTGTTTCCTCTATCAAACATCTATTGTCTTTACTTTTTGTGTTTGTTACTTTTTTGTAACTCTTAAAATCTTCGGCACTTATATGACGTAATTATGTTGCAAGTGTCGTAAAACATTTACTAAACTAAGATATTATATAATCTTCGGCAATAATGTAACCTAGATTTTGATGTATTGCTAGCCCCTTAAAACTCTTACTCATTTTTTTTTCAAGCCAAAACAAACAAGCAAATAAACAAGCAAAAAAAGAAACCAAGCAACAAGACACAAATCGGAGCAAATGTATAATAATTAGGCTTGTTCGATAAGGAGTCACGATATTTGCGATTGAAAGAGGTAGGGGTTGCCTGGTGTCCGAGGTAAAAATAGCGAGAAAGTGGCCGCCAAAGATTGGAGAATTCCATAGTTTGAGTATCCTTGGATACTGCAATTTTTTTTATAGCTTTTGATCAACCTTTTCTGTAAAAATTCACATTTTAATGTGTTTTTAAATAGCCATATTAAAAAGTGTTGAGAAAAACAACAAACAAACTATCCAATGGGTCGCCCCCTGCAGGTTTTCCTATGAGGGAGTAAATTACACAAGCCGTGATACTGCGTGTTGTGAGAGGCGACTAAAGAGGCATAGGACTTGTCGTCCGAAAGAGCCTGTTTGAGGAGGGCCAACTACCCAACCCAGTGAAAACAGTCAGTTATAGAAACACGGACAAACACGGCTTTTTATTTTTCAATCTTGGGAGACGAAAGAGCTTCTGCTTTAGCTGGAACTATGAAGGACAGCAGGCAATGCCGAAAGGACTCTCCTGACCCGAAACCTTCTCATATCTTTGAATAGGATTTGGAAGACCAGAGATACCATACTTCGAACAAAGCTGAGGATTTTCGATTCAAATGTGAAATCAGTCTTGTTGCAAGGATGTGAGATATGGAATGCATAAAAAACGTGCATAAAGAGGATCCAGGTTTTCTTGAACAAGAGTCAAAGAAAGTTACAGAAGATCGGATGGAGAGACAGGTTCACCAACGAGGGAGTGTTAAGGAAAACAAGACAGATCCCAGTCAGAGATGAGGTAGGAAGGAGGCGGTGGCGATGGATTTTACATACTCTCAGGAAGTCAGGCAGCTGCAAAACAAAGAAAGTATTGGGTTGGAACCCACAGGGAAAAATTCAAGGGGAATACCGTGTGGAACCTGGAGAAGAATCACAAAAATTGATGTACAGAAACGTGGGATGACAAGGAATAACATCAAGATGCTGGTCCAGTTTACAGAAAGGTGAAGAGTGTTTGTCCGTTGCCTGAACCGTGGTGCAGGGCGAGAAAGGCAATGCTGATGATCCAGTCAGTTGGACAATGCCAATTTCTTCAATTTCATCGTTTTGACGAACGTCTGATTTCACCACGGTGCCACCCATAAAAAAATTGGCTGCTCTTATTGGCCCACATGGACCATTTAATGCGTTGTTTTTTCAATGCATTTCATACGTGGTGTTGCCCCAACTTGTTCTCTTTTATTTTTTCTCACTTTATCCCTTCTTGTTAATGTTTTCCTGAGGCATTCCATCTCGCACACATTTCTACAGATTTGATTGTTTGTCAGCGTGTTCCTGCAGTTCAGTGTTATTGTTATGCTGTAGACTTTGATCGTCTGCGAACAGCATTTCATTTAGAATTTAAGTTCTACGGATGTAGGCTTGCTTCTTTCGTCAAACAATATATTGCGGTATAATTGAGTTATTTCTTTGTTTACTCTATGTATACTGTCTTGGATAACAAGATCAAGATGTGTAACTTTTTAGACTCTATTGTTTATCTTTTTATTTTTAGCATTAGATTGGAAAACTATACATTCTCAATTTAAAATATATGATTGACGGACTTTGTGGATTTGGGGGGTGGGGGGGAGGGGGGGAGAGAGACCAAATACAGGGGAGATAACTCGTAATTTTGTGGGCAAATAAGAAATGTTCTAGGGGAAGTCATATATTATGCCCCTGTGGGCCAATAAGCACTCCGTAAAATTTTACAACCCCCCCCCCCCAACAAAACCAACCTCAAACCAAACCAAACAAAAGGAAAACGTACCTGTTTCCGAGCGGCCCCATCCCGACACGGAGCACCTGTTGGTGGGTCTTGTGTCTATGTAAGATCCCAATCTCACGATCCTGGTCCGTCTGTTGATGCGGGCGGGGTAGGACAGGGTCAGCATGGCTATGTCGTAGTCTTGGTAGTTCTTGTAGCTACGGTGCTGTGGGCGGGAGGAAACATTATTATTGTTAGTCTGCTTTATTAGTTTTAGTATGATGATGATGACGGAGATGATGATGATGATGATGATGATGATGATGATGATGATGATGATGATAATGATATATTCTTAATATTGTAATTGTTGTTATTATTATTATTCTTAGTATTTATATAAGTATAATTATTATTAATAATCATTATTATTATTGTTGTTGATGTTGTTGTTGTTATTGTTGTTGTTATTGTTGTTGTTGTTGTTGTTGTTTCTCACTCCCCCCTTACGTTCTTCTTATACCATAGTAACAAGACGACAAAGACAACGCCTTTTGTTTTCGACTAGGGACGATAGTCTTAGTTTCAAGTGTGATTATATTCAATTACTGTATTATTTATTAGCAAAGAGAAATGACCATTATTGTATCTATTGAAAAAAAATCAACAGTAAACACACACACACACGCACACACACAAACACACACACACACACACACACACACACACACACACACACACACACACACACACACACACACATTCACACACACAACACAACAACAAACAATAAAGAAAACACAATAACCCCCTCCCCGCAAAAATAGATAGATAAATAAATAAATAAATAAATAAATAAATAAATAAATAAATAAATAAATAATTAAATAAATAAGTAAAAAACAAAACAATAAAGGCAAGAAAAGAGAAAGAAAGTGCCTGCTCACAAGAATCCTTCGGGATACTTGAATAAACTGTATGTACTTGCTCGTGGAGTCCCTTAGATCGGACACACCCAACATCACGTAATAGGTCAGTCTGAGAGAATGTAATGTGAACATGGCAATATTAACCCTATGAGTCTGGTCTCAAGAAAAAACAACATTACAATATTAACCCTATCATAGTCTCAACGAAAGAATAAACAAGGCAATATTAACCCTGTGATGATCTCAAGAAAGAAAAAAACACCATGACAATATTAGATCTAACCCTATGATGGTATCATAGTATTAACCCTATGATGGTCTCAAAAAAGAAAAAAAAACATGACGATATTAACCCTATGATTATCTCAAGGAGAAAAAAGTTGTAATATTAACCCTGTGATAGTTCCAGGAATAAAACCTCATAACAATATCAACCCTAAGTTCGACTGAGAAAAATCAAATCAAGACATCATCAGCGCTATGATTGTCTGAGGGAAAAAAGAGGACACTATTAAACCTATGATTGTCAAAGGAAGGAAAAACAAAACCAGGATGACATGAACCCTATGATTATCTGGGCAAAAGACAGGACAATATGAACCATATCATCGTCTGAGAAAAGAAAAATGATAATGTCATGTAAGAAATGTCATTTGTTACCCTTGATCTGAACAATGATCTTCACCTTTATTTTCCAGCACTATCTTATCTTACCCTGTGATCTTCACCTTTATTTTCCCGCACTATCTTATCTTACCCTGTGATCTTCACCTTTATTTTCCCGCACTATCTTATCTTACACAATGATCTTCACCTTTATTTTCCCGCACTATCTTATCTTACCCTGTGATCTTCACCTTTAGTCTCCTGAACTATTGTACCTCACCCTAGATTTACACAATGATAAAAACCTTTATTTTCCTGAACTATCATTTCTTAGCCTAGATCTACATAGTAATACAAAACTTTATTTTTCTGAATTATCATTTCTTAGCCTAGATCTACATAGTAATACAAACCTTTATTTTCCTGAACTATCATTTCTTAGCCCAAATCTACATAGTAATACAAACCTTTATTTTCCTGAACTATCATTTCTTAGCCTAGATCTACACAGTGATAACAATCTTTATTTTCCTGAACTATCTTACCTTACCCCAGATCTACACAATGATAAAAGCCTCTATTCTCCTGAACTATCATATTTCACAATGATCAAAACCTCTATTTTCCTAAACTATTATTATCTCAGCCTAAATTATTATCCTGAACTATCTTATCTTACCCCAGATCAACGCAGTGAGCAGCAGTAAGCACTTTCCTTTTGCTCACAAGAACCCCGCCACATATCTGATAGAATTTACCATCACTCCGTACCTGGAGGGGGGGGGGGGAGGTGAGGGGTGGAGGGTGGGGGGTTGGGGGGGGAGTGAGAGGGATTAGGTTGGGATACACAGGTGAGAAATAATCTGTTTATATATCGATCTGTCTGTCTGTCTGTCTGTCTGTCTGTCTGTCTGTCTGTCTGTCTGTCTGTCTGTCTGTTTATCTGTTTGTCTGTCTGTCTGTCTGTCTGTCTGCTTGTCTGTCTGTCTGTCGTCTGTTTGTACGTCTGTCTGTCTGTCGTCTGTTTGTACGTCTGTCTGTCTGATGTTTTAAAAGATTGCATATTCTTAATATACTTGACTAATTTTAATGTTTATACTGACATCCCCCCCCCCTTCCTCGTAAACAGGCGTTGGCAGCATCAACAGTCTATTAGACTCACAACAAATAGATTTTCTAGAATTATTTTTGTGTGTATTCCATGTATATTAGCAATCTTTGTATTTAAAACACGTACACAGCGAAATTCGTACCTTTAATTTCGCTGTGTGCGTGCTGAACTGTACATTATTCAGCAATTTGATACTTATTTTAGAAATTGAAGGTCACTTGTATGCTGAAAATAAGAGCAACAATAGTTTTATAAAACTTGTTTAATTTGAGATACGAAACGTGGGTGCTCTGCTATGATTTGCTCCCTCTTTTCTATCAAACATCTATGGCCCTATTTTCTCCTCCTTTTCGTGTGCTTGTTACTCTTTAGTTACACCTCTAATTTTTAGCAGTTATAATATCTTCTATTTCCTTTTTACATTCACCTGCCAGATCATAAGGGTTGTCGATAAGGCCTAACCTGCAGTGCAACTGATTGTTATGTATGTGGTCGTTTTTCCAATTGGCACGTATATGACCTTATAAGGTTGCAAGGGAGGAGGGGAAGGAAAAGAAGAGTGGGGGAGAGGAAAAGAGAGAGAAAAAGGAGGGGAAATCGTGCCGGGGTGAGGGAGGGGATGATGATGTAAAACTCTTACTAAACCTAAAAGATCCGAAACAAAACAGATCTCTGAGCGCGTGTGGTCTCACTAACAGTGATACTGATTTTTTCGTAAGTGACCGTTTTTTCTACTGGCATGATTGTGTTGCAAGTGCAGTAAACTCTTACTAAAACTAAAGGGAAAGAAGGGAAGAGAAGGGAATATGGAGGGGAAATCGTGCCTGGGAGAGGGGATGATGAAGTAAAATCTCTTACTAAAACTAAACGAACCGAAACAAAACACATCTCTAAAATCTAAAAGACCTGAAACAAAACACAACATGTGTAGAAACTAAAAGACCTGACACAAAACACATCTATGAGCTCGGGTGACTTTTTCTGGCCTGACTGTGTTGCAAGTGCCGTAAAACTCTTACTAACACTAAGAGATCCGAAAGAAAGCACATCTCTAAAAACTAGAAGATCCGAAACAAAACACATCTCTAAAGACTAAAAACACATCTCAAAACACATCTCTAACAACTAAACACACATCTCTAAGAACTAGAAGAACCGAAACAAAACATCTCTGTTTGGCCCGGGAGAGCTCACCAGCAGCGCGGCCTGATAAGGGTAGGTGAGGATGGAAGCCGTGGAGCCGCCGGGTACCGCCGAGTAGGGGCCGTAATCTTCTTCGTAGTCGTCTCTCACTGCCTCCCCTTGGTACACCAGAGGGCCCACTGCAGAGGGAGAGGTCAAGAAACGTCTACAACGGAGGGCGGGAGAACTGACAAAACTGGAGATCTCAACAGATAATCGGTCGCTTTTACGGACCAGCGGGCTAATCCAGGTTTCGTGGGTAGCCAGAAACCTTGACCTTCACCAAAAGTGGGCTTTGGATTACCTATAGGAGAAGTTTGATTTCATTGGTGTGTATATTTGTTTGGTTATTGAGAAAACTCTCCTTGTTTTGTTTTTTTAAGAAACTGAACTAGGGTCCGAAAACTTTACCTTCGATTTTTTCAAAACAGCATTTTTCGGGATAGCCCCCTTGTCCTTGAAAGCGATCATCCTCGTAGTTTGAGTATAATATTGACAAAATGGTCACCGGTATAGATAGTCCTCTTTGTTTGAATGTATTGACAAAAATTGTCACGATCAAAGATAGTGCTCGGAGTTTGAATTTATTGACAGAAATGGTCCCTATTATAGAGATAGTAACCCCCCGGGGCAGTGCCACTGACTGTAGTGTCTTTAGGCCGTTCCCAAAGGGGGGACATTTCTCGTTCAAGCATAGTAGAATTGTAAATTGGCCGACTCATGCCACGCTCATAACAGTGCCTGATCTACAACAGGGAACTGCTGCTTTTTCTTTCTTGATCCTTTCTATTGTCATTTTCCTCTACTTTTTTGTATGTTTCTCACTCTCTTGTGACCCTCCATTTCCGGGGTGCCTTGATAGCGAAGCAGACTTTATGCTGTAGAACCTAGAGAGGTGAACAGTCTAAGTCTGATTCCCTGTAAAAACTTCTCCGTTGACACCCACCCCTGGGCGGTCATATGACCTTATGCAGTTGCGAGCGCCGTAAAACCCTCTACTATAAAAAAAAAATAGAGATAGTACTTGTAGTTTGAGCATATTTGCACAAGTGTTGACAACTGTAAATCTTGGTAATCCTCGCAGTTTGAGTGTATTGACAAAATGGATTGCAACTACAGATAGTCCACGAAGTTGAGTGTATTGACCAATAACTGGTCACTATCATAGATAATGCTCGTAGTTTGAGTATATTGACAGATATGCTCACTATTATATTATATAGATCCTCGTTGTTTGAGTTTATTTACAGAGATGGCACTGTTATAGATATTGCTTGTAGTTTGAGTAAATCGCAATTTTTGAGTGCTTTGACAAAAATGGTCACTAGTTGACAAAAATGTCATTATTATAGATAGTCCACAAAGTTTGACTATATTGACAAAAATGGACACTGTTGATAGTGCCCGTAGTTTGAGTGTAGTGACAAAAGTGGAGACCATTCGGGGTAATCCTCGTAATTTTGAGTATATCGACAAAATGGTCACTATTATAGATAATACTCGTTGTCTGAGTTTATTACAAAATGTCACTATTATAGATCGTCTTTGTTGTTTGAGTTTATTGACAAAACAGGTGACCGTTACGGATAGTCCACGGAGTTTGAGAGTATTGACCAAGTACAGTCACAGTGAACAACGGCCTGACCTGGAAGCCGTGTGGTGAACTTATAAACTGGACTGTAATGATGGTGAGTTAAAGACACCGTCTCTTTTGGGTGACAATGATCAAATGCCAATGCGGTTTTAAGTAAACAGAGACTTAAACTTCATAAAAATAAAAAAATGAAAAAAGAAACAGATCCGAATTTTCTGGGGAGGTTTTTACATTGGTGTTGAGAACACTAATCGAAGCACTAAAATGTTATTTTTCTAACATTACCTACTTTTCAGAGTACTTAGTACGTGTACTATCCTCGTGAAAGATAACGTCGTACATTTCTTTTGATCACCAGTAGAATATTTGGGAAGCTTATCTATGTCTCAAGCATTTTCAACACGCCCCCTACAAAACAGCAAACGAACTAAAAACAAAAAACAAATAAAAACAAGCAAACAAACGAACAAACTAACAAAACCATTCTAATTTGAATGGCAAGAGGGATACACAAGAAAACTGCCACCTAATCTCTCCTCCTTCTTTTCTTTGTAAGCCTAAATGTATTGCAAGTGCTGCAAAACTCTTACTAAAACTACCTTCCCCCTTCTACCGTGTACCGAAATCTAGGCTCGTCGTCTGGTGATGTCAAAGAAGTTCTCTCTCTCTCTCTCTCTCTCTCTCTCTCTCTCTCTCTCTCTCTCTCTCTCTCTCTGTGTGTGTGTGTCTCTCTCTCTCTCTCTCTCTCACACACACACACACACACACACAAACATACACATACACACACATAAACACGCACACAGATACGTACAAATATACACAGATACACAAACACACATACACACAAGATCTCTTACCTCCAGAGTACGGTATTTCGGATTCAGGGAAGAGTTCACGAAATACCAGGTAAGGTCCAAACTTCTTTGTTTGGTTAGAATCTTCCCCAAGTACATCTTCTGAAACAGCAGACATTTGAGATTTTTGTTATAAATGTGTGTGTGCATTTGTGTGTGA